TGATCTGGTATCCTGGTGGGAAGATTGCATCTGTTATTGTCTCCATGAGTTTTGTTTCTGTAACTGCTATGATGTCTGGGGACTTCTCATTGATTCTTTCTTGCCATTCCTCATATTTATTCGTTAATCCATCCGCATTTGTGTACCAAACCTTCAACTTCTGCCCTAATACTGTAACTGTGGTCCTGGGGGAATACTGGGGTTGGGAGAGCAGGAGCCCTTGTGGGGGCCTGTGGGGGGTTGCAGTGGAGGTGGAGGAAGAGCTACCATAGGGGGTTGCTGTAGGCATAGGGTTCATGGGGTGGGGGGTGGGAACAGAGGAATCGGTGTGTGATGGTTGGTTTGGATTGTTCAGTTGCCTTGGGGGTGTCGTGGCTGGAGTCCTTCTGCAGGTGTTTCTGGGGGTGTGCCTGTCCTTCCACCTGTTCCTGGGGTATTCTGCTCTCCTTTTTCATTTCCTCCCATTCCTCCTTTCGTTTTTGCACTTTCTCTTTCAGTATCGTCCTTTCCTCCTGTGTTCTGTCTCGATTGAGGTACACACTCCGGAACTCCTGCTTGCCTCTCAGCTGTGCTTTCTCCTGCAGGATCATGGTTCGGGTTGATTCTGCCTTGAAAATTACTTTGAGAGGCCGATTCCTTTTCTTTGTGAACCACCCGATTCTCCGAAAATTTGCCACCTGGGTCATGTCTCCCTCGCCTATCACCTTCATGATACCTTCAATCGCTTTTTTCTCCTCCTGCTTTCTTTCATCATAAGTTTCCCCTTCAGCTTCATCTAGCCCATAGACAAACACGTATCTCTCCCTTTCCCCCTCCCACTGTGACTCCCATTGCATCCTCTGAGGTGTTTTAGTTCCTTCCCGTGGAGTGTTCCTTCCTTCAGTCCCTTCCCTAGCTGTGGCCCCTATGCTCAATGGTTTGTCCTTCCTGCTCACCTGTTCCTGGCCCCCACAAGTGTCTGGTAAGGTCCCTGCACATGTCCTAGTTCCTTCAATGTCTTCCAGCCTCTCATTCTGTCCTAGTGTGCTCCCTGTCTTTGTTTTGGCCCCATGTGGGTTTGACAGGACCTCTGCATACAGTTTAGCTTACATGCTCCCTTCAGACCCTTTGTCTGTGTCTAATGTAAACATTGCTGATGCTATTTCTGTATTATCTTTGTCTCTAGGCTGTTTCAGATTTCTCAGCTCCTCTTCTAATCACTGTATCTTGGCTTCTGCTACTGTGGCATGTTGCTCCCACCTTCTGCATTCTGCTGCTAACCTCTCCTCCATCTTCCTTGCAAGCTCATCTAGCCTTCTTCCCCAGTCTTCCTCCCTTTTTTTAGCTCTGCCTCCCAGTCCTCCCTCCCAGATTCGTCCTTCGGGCTCTTTGTTTTCATCCTAGTTCTAGGTTGCCCCATTGCACCACAGAAGGAAGGGGGAGAGATGGTTAGGGGGTGGGGAATAGATGGTTAGGGGGAGTGGGTTATGGGTGGTTATGGGGAAGGGGAGGATGCTTATTGGAGGGGGAGAGGTGGTTTCGGGAGGGGGTTAGATGGTTTGGGGGAGGGGTTAGATGGTTTGGGGGAGGGGCAGGTGGCTAGGGGGAGGGGGAGAGGTGGTTAGGGGAAGGAGAAGTACGTGTTTGTCTCAAGTGTATATGTGCTTGTGTATGTGTGCTTGTATATGTGTGTGTGCATGTGTGGGAGAGAGAGGGATGGGATTAAGGGGGGAGGGGGAGAGAAGGATGAGTGACCCTTAGAAGCAGGGGAGGTGTGTGAGTGTGATGGGATTAGAAGGGGAGGGGAGGGAAAAGAAGGCTGAGGGTAGAGTGACCGCTTGATAACGGGGTCCTTACGTGTGTGTGTGTGTGTGTGTGTGTGCGCGGTGTGTGTACGTGTGTGTGTGTGTGTGTGTGTGTGTGTGTGTGTGTGTGTGTAAGTGCGTGTGTGTGTATCTGTGTGTGTGTGTACTCGCCTAGTAAGGGTGTGTGTGTATGTGCATATGTATGTATGTGTGTGTGTGTGTGTGTGTGTGTGTGTGTGTGTGTGTGTGTGTGTGTGTGTGTGATGTCATACCTACTTATAATATTCATTCCTTCATTACCTCCACATAAGTCATTCCACTTCTCTTACTACCCTCAGACTGAAAAATTGCTTCCCGACATTCCTCTCACGTGTTTTTTTCAATTTATTCTTTTGTTCCCTACTTCCTTTACGTTACATTTAATTTTGTATATATTCTCGAAATATCTGTTATATCATCACGTATTTCCTGGTCTTCCTCTCTCCAGAACTGTTTGGGTCAATTCACTTATCATTTTCTGTCAGTGCATTCAGCTCAGTCAGCTCCGAGACTTGTCTGTTGGCAAGCCTTTCAATATTGTCAAGCTTCTGAACGTCCTTGGTCGGGCGGGACTCCACCCTCCTGCTAAGTATTCTAAGATGAGTCTGACATAACTTGTGTACAGAGTTTTAAACTATTCCCTGAGGTAAGCGAAGGCTCCTCTGAGAGTCAGCGAGTCTGGCACAGGCTGTCAAAGTCACACTGTTGATGTATTGGTAGTGATGGTACTTATTGAACTGTGTTTCTGGTCTCCGATGGCCTCTTCTTACGGATAAAGAACAATTATCTCTACATACAAGGGTAGACAAATAGTAATTTAAAATACAGTGTACATTTATGACATGACAATCCAATATCACGTCTAGAATTTTTTATTGAACATAAAACAGGTGAAAATAAATACATTCCGCTACATCTATATTGCACAACCAGCCTCAGTTCGTTATAAATTAATGTAAATACAAAGATTACTAAAATTACAGAACTTAGAGAAGAACGGAGTATCAGGTAAAGGATTTTATAAGTAGTATAAGGACCTTGGAAACTTAGACAAGCCGAAGTTCCCAGGTAAAGCTTTTAATGAGTAGAACAGTGACTTTTAAAGACACACAAAACAGCGAAAGTCTTTAAGTAAGGTTTCGCTCAAGACCTACGCTGTATCATGCAATCTTTCCATCCACTTCTCTGTTCATGGCCTCTTCCACCAGGGACTTAGTAACTTCCACAAGAGGAAGTGCTCAGGAAAACACTTTGAAGAGTGTCACAGACATCTTGCTCACCTAAACATTCTTTTACTCTTACAAAAATGTTTATCACATGATTAAAGTAAATCTTAACTAGTTGTAAGAGAAGATCTATACAGCTACTGCTTTTAAACAGCCTCTATGTACAAACAACATATAATATATATATATATATATATAATATATATATATATATATATATATATATATATATATATATATATATATATATATATATATGCAAAACAACCACTCTGAAAGAATAGAGAAATTCCAAGCGCTTTCGTGACTACTCACATTATCAAGGAACTATGTTCCTTGATAATGTGAGTAGTCACGAAAGCGCTTGGAATTTCTCTATTCTTTCAGAGTGGTTGTTTTGCATATTCTGAAATCACATGTTTACTGTGATCTTATTGCATATATATATATATATATATATATATATATATATATATATATATATATATATATCAAAACATCCTCCAGATATGGGAACATGAGTGACAATTTTCCAGAATCTCTCAGGATTCGTCATAAGGTCAAAAATGAGATAACAGGTCACAAAAACAAGAGTGTTGTGAGTCAGCTGGAGTTGTATTATGAGAAAGACAATAACAGGGAAGGTGACGCTGTCTTCTTATAATGGCAATATCAACTTAAAGGAATCGGTAGTAAACACTAGCAGTTCCGAGGTTAATATATTAGTATAATACTCGTATATCTATCATAAGTAAACTCATAATACTATCACTATGGCCGAAGATTAATTATTAACACAATTCTTTTAAATTCTATATTTTAATATCCTGTAAGTTGTTTTTTATTACTCAATAGAGGGAACCATTGTAATAAAAACATGAGGAGTAATCTATTTTACTATTTTTTAACAATAAATTAACTATGTTCATTTAGTGAAGGTAGAATTACCAGTGTTATGGTTACAATGGGGAAAAATGAGTTTCAAAATACGTAGTCCCGTAAACTAGAATTATTAACAAAACAATAGAAATGTCGTGTTAATAAATAATCTTTAGTCATTGTAATATTATTACGCGTTTACTTATAATTGATATACGAGTATTATGTTAATATAATATCCTCTGATTAGCTAATATTTATTACCAATCTTTTGGGTTGATGCTGCCACAAACAACAACACGGCGCCACCTTCACTTTAGATGACTCCCTCATAATGTTTGCAGCTCCTGTTTACTGACACACTACCATTTTTGTCCTCCTTTTCTCTTATTTTGGCCTGTTGAGGGATCCTGAATTTCTTTTTAAAAGCTTTGCTTCGAGTGTTTATATATATATATATATATATATATATATATATATATATATATATATATATATATAATATATAATATATATATATATATATAATGTAGTGCCGAATATATTGTAAAACTGGTCAATTAGCAAGAACTCATTTAAAATTAAGTCCTTTCTAAAAATTTTTCTTATACTTTTAAAGATTTATTGTTTTCATTGATGTTAATGTAAAAAATTATAATTTTGCACCTAAATTATTATTATTATAATAAAAAAGAAGCGCTAAGCCACAAGGGCTATACAGCGCTTTGCACCTAAAGAATCTTAGAAAACTTACCTAACCTTATTGTAACAAGCGCAATTTATTTTAGCCTAACCCAACTAAATATATTTTAGATACGTTTACAGTAATTTAATACTAAACAAACACAATGAAATATATTTTTTTCGTTAGGTTCAAAAAAATTTTTGCGAAATTATTGCATATACAAATTTTCGCTTGCAGTATTCGGTAAGAAGAGCTTTGCTATTTAAGTAAAAAAAATATCACAAGTTTTACCTATTCGGCACGACATATTGTTATATATATATATATATATATATATATATATATAATATATATATTAGTTCATATAAATTAGAAGATTTTAGCTACTTTTAAAGGAATATAATCACATAGATATATGTTTTAATTTTTATAATTTAAAGCTCAATAGTGAAAAAAGGTAAAGCTGAATATAAAGGAGGTGAGTCTTTGTTCAGTAGTTCTTCTCTAGTTCTTCGACCTCGATGTCCAAGAACCAGTGACACGAGGCTACCGTTGAACCACGTTCTCTTTTCTCTCTCCACTTCTTTGATTATCGCTTATTATCTCTACTTCACTCTTATTATGAATAATTTGTACCTCCTCCTCCTCCTCTTCCTTTATCGTTCTTTCTTGCGTCTTTTGACAGCTTCCGACGTTCGTTCTCGGCATCGAAGAAGACGAAGGTAACATTAGTATGTTATCTAAAGAAAATTTTTGGTAAGAACGCTTGTGGTGGATAAGAGAGAAATAAGACGATGAATCTGACGAAGGTGTCGGGGAGGACGAGGTACCTGCAGGAGTAGGAGAGGTACCTGCAGGAGTAGGAGAGGTACCTGCAGGAATTAGAGAGGTAATTATATGTGTATGACAGGTAACTGCAGGGGGATGAGAGGTACCTGCTGTAGTATGAGAAGTATCTGTAGGAGTATGAGAGGTAACTTCTGGCGAATGAAAGGAACCTTCAGGAGTATGAGAGCTACCTGCAGGAGTATGTGAGGTAACTTCTGGCGAATGAGAGGTACCTGCAGGAGTATGAGAAATGCCTGCAATACTTGCAGGAGTGTGAGATATACGTGCAGGAGTATCAGAGGTACCTGCAGTAGTATAAGAGGTAGTTGCAGGAGTGCAAGAAGGAAACTTAATACTGCTTGGAAATTCGTCCATGTGTGAACCTTCCTTTATGAGAGTCGCTGCATCCGGAGTATATTAATGTGGGTGTGGCAACGGTAAGTCTGTCGTTAGGATCCCTAGTGCTGACTCGCGTATCTGGCGGCGATGGAGAATCTGATCTTTCTCTGGGAGACACTGGAGGGTCGAGCCTGCCAAGTGAGGTGTTGTTGATTGGAGGGAACGGCGACGAGGAGGAAGGAGGGATATGAGAAGGATGAGGAAGGGGGCTTGAGTTGAGTGAATGAAGGGAGATGTGAAGGAGGTGAGGGACGCAGTGGGTATGAGGTGAAGGGGGGATTGATGGAGTATGTGAGAGGGCAGGAATTGGCTTCTGGAGTGTCGGAGGCTCTGCTGGAAGCCGCTGGAGTGTCAGAGGCGCTGGTGGAGGCCGCTGGAGTGTCGCAGGCACTGATGGAGGCCACTGGAGTGTCAGAGACACTGCTGGAGGCCGCTGGAGTATCGGAGGCGCTGCTGGAGGCCAGACTTGGTGGCAAGAGCGTCAACTGTCGTTCAGTCTTCTTCAACTCTGGCATAAAAGTAAAGAAAAAAAAAAAAGCTTCAGACCATTATTGTTATATTTAGGGTAAAGAATTAAACATACAGCGACTTGGCATCAGCTTTGATACAAGGGAAGGGTATCTCAAGTTATCTGGATCTAGAGCCCTTCCTCCCTCATCACGGCAACTCTCTTGAGGGACAAAATTTATGGCATTACATGTTGTACCTCGTGATTCCTCTAGCTAATTATGAAGCATCTTTATATACATATATGCATTTTATTACAAGAATTATTTAATATTATTGTATTGCTATAGTTATATTCTTTAACAGCTAAAACGAAACAATCATACATTATAATATTACAGACAGGCTCCGCTTTACAGCGGTTTGCTTAACAGAATTTCTCTAATACAGCGATTTTCAATTATACCTTTTCTTCATTTATTCAGACTTCCTACAATAAATATATTCACCACTCACCATAAGCTCACTTAATACATGATAGTGTAAACAATGTATCAAGCTTTTATATGCATTTGAAAGTGAAAAAAAAAAGGTGTTATGATTCACTTTGCAGCGAACATCGCTTTACAGCAGTAGCCCGGAACCTATGTTCTGGGCTCCTGCTGTGTAAGTGGGGCCCTCGTGTATATATTTTTCTAATTTAGATTATTGTTTTTATGTAGCAGAAACAGGGTTATAATTGGTTGATGTTATATTGGAAACATACTTGATATGTTATTCTGTTCTGTTTTCAGTCTACTTATCCTCATAGCATTAATTACACTTATATACAGTACCGTGCCTGAGGGTACAATACCATGCTTGAGGGTACAATACCATGCCTGAGGGTACAGTACCATGCCTGAGGGTCACAATACCATGCCTGAGGGTACAGTACCATGCCTGAGGGTACAGTACCGTGCCTGAGGGTACAATACCATGCTTGAGGGTCACAATACCGTGCCTGAGGGTACAATACCGTGCCTGAGGGTCACAATACCATGCCTGAGGGTACAATACCGTGCCTGAGGGTGCAGTACCGTGCCTGAGGGTACAATACCATGCTTGAGGGTCACAATACCGTGCGTGAGGGTACAATACCGTGCCTGAGGGTACAATACCATGCCTGAGGGTCACAATACCATGCCTGAGGGTACAATACCGTGCCTGAGGGTACAATACCATGCCTGAGGGTCACAATACCATGCCTGAGGGTACAGTACCATGCCTGAGGGTACAGTACCATGCCTGAGGGTCACCATACCATGCCTGAGGGTACAATACCGTGCCTGAGGGTGCAGTACCGTGCCTGAGGGTACAATACCGTGCCTGAGAGTACAATACCGTGCCAGAGGGTGAAGTACTGTGCCTGAGGGCACAATAACGTGCCTGAGGGTACAATACCGTGCCTAAGGGTGCAGTACCGTGCCTAAGGGTGCAGTACCGTGCCTGAGGGTACAATACCGTATTTGAGGGTACAATACAGTGCCTGAAGGTACAATACCATGCCTGAGGGTGCAGTACCGTGCCTGAGAGTACAATACCGTGCCTGAGGGTACAATACAGTGCCTAAGCGTGCAGTACCGTGCCTGAGGGTACAATACCGTGCCTGAGGGTACAATACCGTGCCTGAGGGTACAATACCGTGCCTGAGGGTACAATACCGTGCCTGAGGGCACAATACCATGCCTGAGGGTACAGTACCATGCCTGAGGGTATACATACCAGTGCCTGAGGGCTACAAATACCGTGCTGAGGTGCAATCCCGTGCCTGAGGGTACAAGACCGTGCCTGAGGGTACAATACCGTGCCTGAGGGTACAATACCGTGCCTGAGGGTACAATACCGTGTCTGAGGGTACAATACCGTGTCTGAGTATGGTACAAATACCGTGCCTGAGGTAGTCAATGCGTGTCTGCTAAGGTACAGTACCGTGTCTGAGGGTACAATACCGTGCTGAAGGTACAATACCGTGTCCTGAGGGTACAATACCGTTCCTGAGGGTACAATACCGTGTCTGAGGGTACAATACCGTGTCTGAGGGTACAAGACCGTGCCTGAGGGTACAATACCATGCCTGAGGGTACAATACCGTGCCTGAGGGTATAATACCGTGCCTGAGGGTACAATACCTTGTCTGAGGGTACAATACCGTGTCTGAGGGTACAAGACCGTGCCTGAGGGTACAATACCATGCCTGAGGGTACAATACCGTGTCTGAGGGTACAATACCGTGTCTGAGGGTACAATACCGTGTCTGAGGGTACAAGACCGTGCCTGAGGGTACAATACTATGCCTGAGGGTGCAATACCATGCCTGAGGGTACAATACCGTGTCTGAGGGTACAATACCATGCCTGAGGGTACAATACCGTGTCTGAGGGTACAAACCGTGTCTGAGGGTACAATACCGTGTCTGAGGGTACAAGACCGCGCCTGAGGGTACAATACCATGCCTGAGGGTACAATACCGTGTCTGAGGGTACAATACCGTGTCTGAGGGTACAATACCGTGTCTGAGGGTACAAGACCGTGCCTGAGGGTACAAGACCGTGCCTGAGGGTACAATACCATGCCTGAGGGTACAATACCATGCCTGAGGGTACAATACCGTGTCTGAGGGTACAATACCGTGTCTGAGGGTACAATACCGTGCTGAGGGTACAAGACCGTGCCTGAGGGTACAATACCATGCCTGAGGGTACAATACCATGCCTGAGGGTACAATACCGTGTCTGAGGGTACAATACCGTGTCTGAGGGTACAATACCGTGCCTGAGGGTACAATACCGTGCCTGAGGGTACAATACCGTGTCTGAGGGTACAATACCATGCCTGAGGGTACAATACCGTATACATGAGCTCCGAGGTAGCGATGCTCAAATGAGTTGAATCTAATGTATTAGTTTGTGGCAAGTTCCGACACAAGGTATAAACTATGTTGAAAAGTATCGTCTTGTGAAAAGCCCTAAAAACCCTGATGACTGTCTACCTCTAGCTACCAACACCGTCTCCTCAGCTACCTAACGACCGTCAACCTCCGCTGCTGACGACCGTCAACCTGCAGCTACCGACCGACCGTCAACCTCAGCTGCTGACGACCGATCAACCTCATGCTTACCTGAACGACACGGTCAACACACTGCTCTGACGACCGTCTAACCTCAGCTCCTGACTGACCGTACCAACCTACAGTCTACCTGACGGACCGTCAACCTCAGCTACCTACGACCGTCAACCTCAGCTGCCTGACGACCGTCAACCTCAGCTACCTAACGACCGTCAACCTACAGCTTCCTGACGACCGTCAACCTCAGCTCCTGACGATCGTCAACCTCAGCTGCCTGACGACCGTCAACCTCAGCTGCCTGACGACCGTCAACCTCAGCTGCCTGACGACCGTCAACCTCAGCTGCCTGACGACCGTCAACCTCAGCTGCCTGACGACCGTCAACCTCAGCTGCCTGACGACCGTCAACCTCAGCTGCCTGACGACCGTCAACCTCAGCTGCCTGACGACCGTCAACTGGCTTCTGTGTCTTCCACGAATATTACATTGTGTAATAATCAAAATATGAAATTTTTACTGTTATTGAGTTTTCTCAGCATTAGCAAGTTGCCAAAATTACGAACTCTCTGGCATCACTAGCATTTCCTTGTTAACTTAATGATTAGATGCCGTCCATATAAATATCGTACTATCACATAATAAAGTGTCGTTGTTAATAACATTGTAATCGAAACATTTGTGATGCAGATAAAGGCAGACATGTCGAGATCAAGACGTGTGTGCTTGAGCGTCTTCGTGCCGCTGGTATCATCATTCCAGTTCTCCGAACATTTCCATGTCATTTATTACCCCTCAAGGGTGGTTCCTTGATGCTGGTCAGGGGCTCTTGATATAGGGAATTGAATCTCTGGTCCGGTTCCCTGAATTGGGCCTGAATGCTTCACCCCCTTCCCACAGCCGCTGTATAATCCCTCCGGGTTTAGCGCCCCCCCCATTTTAATAATTATAATAATCCAAGTCATTTAGGTGTATTTCCAACCATATACGTCATTCCTTTCATGTCATAGGTTACAACCTGCAGCCAGTTTTGGCTAAAGGGGTACAAAATCTCTCCGCTGTTTGGGCTGTAGAGTTGATGGGATCTTAGTGAGACTCAACCCGCTGAAATCCACCATCACGATGTGATCCAGTGTTGGGAAGCTTATATTTTTTTCTTTATTTTATGTGGCGTAGTGTAGCGTGTGTGGTAGAACTGCTGGAGGCTTGATCCTCCTTCTGTTAGTCGTACAAAACAGATGGTGCCTACCTACCTGCTGGCTACCTGTCCAATGTTTAATTTGTGCCAAGACCTGTCATGCCAATATGTGAGGTGCAACAAAGTAAGACAAGTAGTATGAGACTCACTCACCTGCATGAAGGAGTGCGTGGTTGCGCAGGTTGGTGAGCTTGCTGAAGCCCTTGCCACACACTGTGCACTTGTGCGGCCACTGGCCGTTGTGCACGAACATGTGTGATCGCAGGTCTCCAGGCGTCGGGAAAGAGCGAGTGCACAGCGAACACTTGTGAGGTTTCTCCTTGACGTGCGTCATCTTGTGGTAGTAGAGGTTGGAGGAGGCGGTGAACCTCTTGCCACACACGCCACACTGGTGTGGCTTCTCACCGCTGTGGATGCGTCGGTGAGTGTTGAGCGAGGAGCTGGTCGAGAAGCCTTTACCGCAGACATCACAGGCGTGAGGCTTCTCCCCAGTGTGGGTCCTCATGTGCCGCTTCAACAATGACGGACGATCAAAGGCCTTACCGCACTCTGAGCACGGCAGCATAGTCCGTTCCCGACGCTTGACGGGGGCCAGCGGCAGTGCCACCTCGCTGCTGCTGCTGCTACTGCTGCTGCTGCCAGAGGCGGTGCTGGTGATGGCAGAGGTGCGGTACACACAGATACCACTGCTAGACGGCACTGACGCTGGCTTTGTCGTCCTCAACTTCAACGTAAACGGTCTCCCCGATGACTCTGAATCTGCCAGATTAATCCCGAATCCGGACTGCCTGAGCGGGAAGAACGACGAAGAAGCCGAAGGAAAAGGCGAGATCGGGGAGCTGGTAGCGGGTGATCGTGGGGAGGGGGATCGAAGCGGTGACTCCGCCTCCAGTTTCCTCTTCCCCGTGTCGTCTCCGCCGGAAGGGGTTCCTGGCGTCGGGGTTTTAGACGCCGGAGAGGTTAGCAAGGAGCGGGAGAGGTCCAGCGGCGCCTCCGCCATGATGGAGTCAATAGTGCGACGGTAGAGGGAGGAGCGGAGGAGGGTGAGGGCAGGCAGGAGGAGGACATCCTCCCCACCTACCTCCGGCAGGAGGAAGGCCACCAGCCGCTCCCCTGGCCACACCTCACGCACCACCTCGAACACCACGGAACCTGAGGAGTTAATGCAACGTCAGAAAATATATACTAATGAAGGGCTCTTGTGTCAAGGAAGTGGAGCCATCTTCCTCCCCTTCCTTGGACCAAACCTGATTATCTCTCATTTCCCAGGCGATGTATGACTCATACGGGTTTACCACTTCTTCATGAATATAGTAACACCGGCAACGTCAGAGTATAAATAACATAACATCAAGTGAATGGTACTTTAATTTTTAAGTGTGACCGGAAAACAAGGGCATGGCCTAGGTCACGTGACCGGAAACAACAGTGGTGGGTCATGTGACTAAGACCTGCGTCACCAGGTACTTGTCCTGGTACCTGGCAGGTCTTACCTAACTTATTACACTGTGGAAAATATTTACCCAGCAATTAATATTAATTACACACACACACACACACACACACACACACACACACACACACACACTGGAGGACAGGAGAGATAGGGGGGACATGATAACGACATACAAAATACTGAGAGGAATTGACAAGGTGGACAAAGACAGGATGTTCCAGAGATTGGACACAGTAACAAGGGGACACAGTTGGAAGCTGAAGACACAGATGAATCACAGGGATGTTAGGAAGTATTTCTTCAGCCACAGAGTAGTCAGGAAGTGGAATAGTTTGGGAAGCGATGTAGTGGAGGCAGGATCCATACATAGCTTTAAGCAGAGGTATGATAAAGCTCACGGCTCAGGGACAGTGACCTAGTAGCTATCAGTAAAGAGGCGGGGCCAGGAGCTCGGACTCGACCCCCGCAACCTCAACTAGGTGAGTACACACACACCTTAAAGCGAGGTAGTGGAGGCAGGTAACATACATACATAGCTTTAAGAAGAGGTATGATAAAGCTCATGGAGCAAGGAGAGAGTGGACCTAGTGGCGACTAGTGAAGAGGTGGGGCCAGGAGCTATGAATCGACCCTTGCAATAACAATTAGGTGAGTACACAAGCACTCACACACCTGGAGTTTACCTGGAGAGGGTTTCGGGGGTCAACGCCCCCGCGGCCCGGTCTGAGACCAGGTCTCATGGAGGATCAGGGTCTGATTAACCAGGCTGTTACTGCTGGCCGCACGCAAGCTGATGTACGAACCACAGCCCGGTTGGTCAAGTACTGACTTTAGGTGCCTGTCCAATGCCTTCTTGAAGACAGCGAGGGGTCTATTGGTAATCCCCCTTATGTATGCTGGGAGGCAATTGAACAGTCTTGGGCCCCGGACACATATTTATGCAAAACAATCGCAGACAGGCGTTCTTTACAATACAAGACAAGCCAGTGCATCATCAGGAGCTGTGCAATGTTGCAAGGGCAGCAACAGGAGAAAATGAGAGAAAGTTTTTCAGAGTATGGTAACGTGGGTGGCACCCCCAGGATCACTTTCAGTGTAAAAACAGTCAGCTGACATCCTAAAGGTTCTAGGTTCGACTCCCAGTTGCTCCTTGTTCACTCTCTAAGCCTCAGAGACTGCTGGGTTCTTGAAATAACCAGAGTTGACATAACACATCTTCGTCTCGAAGTTAAACTGTGCAAAGAATTCAAGTCTATGAGTTAGGTCTCCCGGAAGGTCGGATTACTGAATTTCCTCTACACCTGATGCTTGAATTAATGAAACAGTAAATAGGAACCTGTGCTTTGGCAGACTGTTGTGCGCTCTCTCTCTCTCTCTCTCTCTCTCTCTCTCTCTCTCTCTCTCTCTCTCTCTCTCTCTCTCTCTCTCTCTCTCTCTCTCTCTCTCTCTCTCTCTCTCTCCTCTCTCTCTCTCTCTCTCTCTCTCTCTATCTATCTATCTATCTCTCTCTCTCTTTCACTCTTTCCTTAAATAGCTGGTCTCAGTGTCTCCTACTTAGCTATGTACAGTAATATACATAAAGTGAGGAGAAAGGTAGTGTGGCGGTGCTAAGTGCTCCAGAAGCGAGAAGAGTGATATTACAAATAATAATGATACTAATAATAGCAATGCCTACTACTACTACTACAATAATAATAATAATAATAATAATAATAATAATAATAATAATAATAATAATAATAATAGCGATAATATTAATGAAAATAGACACAAATAGCATTTATATATTATATTTTTGACTACTCACTTTAGCTTGTATATTAACAATTGCCTTTCCTGCCCTCCACTCCCTCCCTCCCTCCCTCCCTCCTCCCTCCCTCCCTCCCTCCCTCCCCCTCCCTCTCTTTCTCACATCCTCCTTCCCTACTTCTCTTCCTCCTTCCATCTCTCATTGCTTCCCTACCCTCTTTTTCTCACTTCCTACTTCCCTATCTTCCTCTTTCCATCCCCTCACTTCCTTCCCTCCCTTCCTTCCTCCCTCCTCCCTTCCTCCCCCCCCCTCCCTTCCTTCCTTCCTCCTTCCCTTAATCACCCACGGGCCGCCGTTGACACACTTCCAACATCTTCCGCGTCGCCACGCGCCGCCTTTCCGGCCTCGCCGCTTGCGTCCGACTCGGCTCCACCCACACTTCCGGCGTGCGGCGGGGTGCGGCGACACGCGCACGTCCACAGACCGCAGCTTCCCACCATTACGTGGTGAGGGTCAAGTGGTGGGGCGTCGGACGTCGGGCGTCGGGCGTCGGGCACGTGTCTTATCGAAAATGACCCAGAGACCTGTTGAGTGCCAATGTAGTGCCAGTGTAATGTCAATGTAGTATAGTTATAGTGTCAATTTTTTACTTATCTCTTATCACTGTCTGTTATACCTATTGTTTTACTCATCCCTGTCTGTTTTACTCCTAACTCTTGTTTTACTCATCCCTGTCTGTTTTACCCCTAACTTACTAACCCCTAAGTGACTTACCTCTGATTCACTTCTTACCCCTGGACACCTTCTTCACCCTTGACTCTTTTACTTACCCCCTAACTAACGTCTTACTCACCCCTGACCCTGGAAGCAACCATGTTGACACGAGGAGTGAAGTGAAGTGAGTAACTGATGAAGCGAACCCAGTTGCAGAGCCTCACCCGTCCACCAGCTCTGTCACACACTTCCTCGTAGCTACCGTACCTCTGTCTCGGCTGTGTGGGAGAGACAGGCAGGCTGTGAGGGAGGAGGGATACCTTAGCTGTTATCGCAGAGAGAGAGAGAGAGAGAGAGAGAGAGAGAGAGAGACAGACAGACAGAGGAAGGGATGAGAGAGCTGGGGAGAAAGGGAAGGAGTGAGAAAGGATTTTTAAGATTTGGATTTTGCGCAGAATCGGCTGGTTTATTGTGCACTATTATCCATCCTGTGGAGGATAGCACAAGAGCACATAGATATATAAAAGGCCTAGGAACCAGCCCCCCCCCCAAAAAAAAAAAAAAAGATTAACAGGAGTACATCTGGATTTATATCTACATTTATGGTATCTGCTGCCAGCAGATTTAGGATAATTGCATAATATGTCTGGTATCTTATCTTCATTAGTAAGATACATTCATAAATCATATAAGTAGGTTATCATACCGTTTATCTCTATATTTCTCAATAAGCGGACAATTCATCACATAGTGTTCAAGACAGTGACCACAGGTCTGGTCACATACTTTGCATTTGGTTTGATCATCATCTGTGTGTCTGTCATACTGTCCAGAAGTACTTGTAACCAAGCCTCAGCCTGGCCACTACAACATCAGTCAGTACTTGTAACCAAGCCTCAGTCTGGCCACTACAACATCAGTCAGTACTTGTAACCAAGCCTCAGCCTGGCCACTACAACATCAGTCTGTCTGTCCATATTGCAAGTTGCTCCATAAACGTACTTATCAGGTTATCATAGCGCGTTATAGATCTACTCAGACTTCTAACTACATTCATATAACATTCACTTTTATCATTTACTTCTCTCCTAATATTCTTCCTCATACTGGACACAAACACACCAAAGTTATATTTCACATTTTCCTTCAGGGTATTTTTTTTGGCTAACTTATCAACTTTTACATGAAGGTGTAACTGTGTGATGGGATCCCTTAAAATTGCATACTAATTCCCTTTTCTCTGATTTTGAAGTATCTACACCTGACTTCTTCACTGAACATGTTTTTAGAGTCATTTAAGTCAAGCTTTCAATGATGGGATAGAAACGTAGGTTAACTTTAGTGCCACAATGATGATAAAACAATTCAGTGTGCAGTGTAAACGCCCAGTTGATATTTCTCATGCCTAACTTAAGATAGTCATTATCCTTCTTACCAACAAAGGTGGCAACACGATTCCTGTTTACATCCATCAGTGTATGTAATTTGTAATATATTACTAACAGTTAAACGAGAAATTTATTCTTGAACATTTGCCTTTGCAAGTGATTTAAGGGAAGGCTTACTGGTGATACACTTCTTGAGAGGGACTTGCAGGCATGTGATATTAGCTCGTGCCGATGATACAGTGCTTTTGGGAGATTATGAGGAGAAGTTGCGAAGATTGGTGGACGAATTTGGGATGGTTTGTAAAAGAAAGAAAATAAAAACGAGCATGTTAAAGAAATACAGGTTCCATGGAGGAATGAAATGCTCTTGTTGTATACAGTGATACAGTTGTCTACAGTGATACAGTTGTCTACAGTGATACAGTTGTCTGCATGAAATGTCCATTATGTTGCGGTGTCCGACAGATTGTAATAAAGTTGGTAGAATTACCGACAATATGTAAAGTAAAAGGACACAAGTGCAACTAATGTGACATTTTATTGTGGCAACGTTTCGCTCTCCAGGAGCTTTATCTACAGTTATCTACAGTGATACAGTTTGTGCAGGTTGAACTTCTAGACATTCAGTAAGATTTGTAGTGACAATATCTGGTTCATTTCTTAGCATTCTAATATCAGTGATACTAGAGCCTTGGTAGATTTAGGACAGACAATTATAATTCCGAGGGCTTCGTTTTGCATTAACTTCCAGAACTGGAGAGACTTTTCTTTAGCAGTAATATGGGCCCAGAATAATCAATTAAGAATCTAATATGGGCTGTGTATATTATTCTCATTATTCTCAAATTAGCACCAGAGTTGGGGTTGTAAACAGCAACAGCTCTGAGAGCATCTAGTATATCTTTGCATTTGTTAGTTGCAGTATGATGGATTTATTGAAGGGTACTTCTACACCAAGATATCTGTAAGATTTTAACTTAGTTAATGTTTTTACCCTTTGAACAGATGGGTGGGGCATGTCGTTTGCTTGGCAATATCTTTGTTTTAGATGGAAATATGACGAGGCCTAGTCGATTACCAATTACTTGAACCTCGTTAAGAATGTTCAGCTTTTATTCTCTGTTGTATGGATCATGATGTTATCAGCATAGCTTATAGCTATATGTTTAGGTGAGGCAGTTAGAGCATTTAGGAGAGCATTAATCAGAACATTAAATAGCATGGGACCGAACTCCTCCCTGTGGTGTACCAAGGAGCATTTCTTTAGACTCGCTTCTAAAGCCTTGATAGACAACAGAAGACACTATTTGACAGATCCTATTACCCAACTGAGTATGCTCATGTAGGATAACATAATTCTCTAGTATAGTCTGTTAAATATCATTCTTAGAATGTTTTACAAAGACAACTAGTTAAGGAGATCGGCCTAAATACATCAGTCTGTTGCGGCTTAGGAGCAGACACAGTGAGACTATAGGTCCAAAACGTAGGAAGAACACCCTCCATGTAATTAAGATTATACAGCGCTAACAAAGTGTTATCAGAGACACGCCTTAGTGTTCCGAAGATAACATAAGTTACACCATCCTCTCCAGGGAAGGCTGATCCACCTTTATTTAATGCATTATCTAATAAATTCTCAGTGAAGAGGTAATGACTCTCTTCAATATTTTGGCTCATAAATAAATTTCAACCTTTCTTCAGAGGCAGGTGAGAGGCAGAGGCAGGCTGGGTGAGGCATCGAGAGGTGAGGAAGAAACTCTGTCTTCCCCTCCCTTGACTGTTAGTGATAGAGACGGAGGGGAAGACAGAGACTATTGACACAAAGAGATAGGGTAATTCTCAACGAAAAGAGAGAGAGAGAGAGAGAGAGAGAGAGAGAGAGAGAGAGAGAGAGAGAGAGAGAGAGAGAGAGAGAGAGAGAGAGAGAGAGAGAGAGAGAGAGAGAGAGAGAGGGTGATTATGAGGATATGTAAAGAGAAGTCACAGCCGAGGTTACTAAGCTTCCTGTAGTGATATTCATCACCTTCAGAACCACAATAAAACTCTCAAGCATCAGTATCGTTACCTGCTATCATGGATATTTTCATCACAGTGCCACTATTTATTCCAGTCAGCCCAGGAAAATTAATATTCTTCAAAAACAGAATCATGCAGCACTCTCTCTCTCTCTCTCTCTCTCTCTATCTATCTATCTCTCTCTGAAAGTCATCTTATCATACGTTTCTCACATACACTATGATGAGAAGTATGCCTACCAAGCGTATCTCACATAATGAGAAACATCGGTGTTCTCATTAAGTTGGACACCAATTCTCCTAGCAGACTTAAAACCAGTTAGAATTCTAAATCCTCTGCAGCAGTACACAGTCCTCGCAAGTGTCACTGAGGGAGGGGGAAGCTTCACCTTTTATGCAAAGTTATCATAAAATAACTCGCCGTGGAAAAGTGACCGAGTGAATAAGTTTCTCAGCAAATGTAGTGGAAATGTTCAGTGTTGCACAGCGACGTTCATTTGAACATGATGCCAGTTGTTGTTCTATATTAAGAATGGCTGATGTGATAACTAGTGGTTGATGTGTTTAATAGTGATTAATGTAATAACTAGTAGTTATGTGATAACTAGTAGTTAATGTGATAACTAGTAGTTGATGTGATAACTAGTAGTTAATGTGATAACTAGTAGTTGATGTGATAACTAATGGTTAATGTGAAAACTAGTAGTTGATAACTAGTGGTTAATGTGATAACTAGAGCAGATAACTAGCTTCAGTTGATGGTTCCTTCTTTGGAAATAGTCCAATAGTTTGTCTCAAGGATATGGTGCCTTAATGTCGGTGAGGAGCTCATTATCCAAGGGATAGGACCTATCCTTTCCCTAGATCGAACTTGCTTGCCTTCCATTACGCTGGAAGGTTATCTCACTACAACAACAGCTGCTTATCAGCTGCCTGCAAGTTTTGTCTTCAAGAGTCGCTTTTGTTTTCAGGTTTTCGAACTTTTATATGTAAGAATTTTATTAGAAACCCACTGTTGCTTGGGGTCCTTTACTGTGTTTCATGGATGATAAATCTAAGCCATATGGAGCTTCAGAAAAATCGTCAACTGTAATAACTCGTCCACGACTTAGCTTTTTGTGGGGGTCAGGGGTTCGTGTATGGCTGACAGAGGCCTCTCCCTTGTTACTTTTTTTTTTTTTTTTTTTTGGGGGGGGGGGGTTGTCGGCCTATTTTATTGTGCTTCATTCAGATGCAGGTGAAACTGATACCTGTTTTGCCTTTTCTGATAGCGAAACACTCCATTGTTTTCTTGAGGTAGAGTGACACTGTTGTGACTTCATTGATAACAATGTTCTCTGTTGCAGTATAAACAACTTGCAGATTTTAGTACGTACAAGAGAATCTAAAAATAATATCTCCAAGGCTATTTCAAATATGTATTGTATAAGTGTGCATATGTATACATGTGTATGAATTCGTTTTTATATACGTGTGAATGTATTCTTGTCTCCTCCTCTCCTCCTGACGCTTGGTCAGTTCACTGTGGTGGTGAGTTGTGTGTAGACCCGAGGGTTAGCAACCTCATCCCGGAGGCTTGCCACTCACCACAGGGTGCTTACCTGACCAAGTACCCAGCAACTCTTTCGGCATAAATGATGGGATATTTCCTATTTCGTCTAAACTTACCGCCGTTTCCTGCCGAAGACACGGAACCAATTATGTATGTGGATTGTAGAGTGTAATAAAATACTTGGAATGCTTTCGTTTGTTTTGTGATCACAGCTCGCAAAATGGTAGCGACATGGTTGTAAACAACTCACTGAACGAGGGATTCGAACCCATGGCAAGCCAGCCCTAAAACTATCAGAACTATATTTGTCCAAAAACAGG